GGCATAGACACCACAATGTCTGTCAAAACATGATGTAGCTGCCGATGAAATGTTATGTTTTAAAGCATGATCTGAGTGATCCCTGTACAGCATCAGGAGATAAAATTACACGTAATCTCCAGGTTTTTGTCAAACAGATTGACTTTTTTCAAAGTCTTATATTAGAGACATACCTTTTTTTCTAAAGTTAATACTGTACACCAAAACATTTTCACAGCAGTTTTTAAATAATTGGCTTTTTTCACCCTTGGCAGTAATTGCAGGTTTATCATGACAGTGAATGTAAGTACATATATACCACACTATATATAGTAATCATGTGAGACTAGCGAAATTAACAGCAGTTTAAATTTTATAGGTGAAGAATGAAAATTTTGAGGGAATCCGGATATACAGTACTTTTCTAGATTTTCATTTACAAGTATTTGGTCTATGGAGGGACATTGATAATTCATTGTACTCTTGTACAAATCCACGACAAATAGGTTGTACCAGTATATAACCAGTACAGAAAGCTACATCTTCACACATCGCTTTACTTTTATGTAGAAGATGAGAACATTGAAACTAAGAAAAGTACATGATAACTTCACGATTGCATGAGTTCACGAATCCAAGGAATGCTGAACCTTACAAGGACCTTCAGGAAAAATTGTAGATTCAGGTTGAATGACTCGAAGTCAAATCTGATTGCAGTCCTCTTGCTTTACCGGAGTATCGGCTTGTACAAACGTGTTGACAGGGTTTGGACACCCCACTTGACTTTTATGGGTAGTCAATGGTATGGCCGCTGTGGGTTATCTCATCAATGTGGTCCCACATGTTTGGTTAGTGAGCTGTTTACATATGGTTATCTCATTACCATGATAAAATGAAATCTTGAGACAACTGGTTGAGTAATGGCCTCAGCACAAATATATATTCCGGTAGATTTCAAATCTTATATATGCTGTGGGTTGGATGAGTGGGATTTGTTGTCCAGTTTACAACAGGAAACAGCTACAATCTACTGTAATTAGAATCCAGGGTGCTTGAATAATTGCTGAAGGCGACCCCCTTTTAAGATCATAAACGTTGTGGCGGTAAAATGCTGTAAAGATGACATAACTGTCAGACACATAACCAGGGAAAATTCAATCATTGTTCTTTTCTTAACACTGGAAAACATCACGAGACTGTAGTGTCTGATATGAAATATGAAGTACTATTAATTTTTTTTACCACAGGGGGCCAGATTAGAGGGTATATGTCGATGGGAGAGGCATACTTATATCATTTTGATTTGTGCCCAAAAAGGGAAAGGAGCCCTTAATTGTAAAAGCAGGGGGGCTCATAGCAGCAAATATGGTACCTAGATTATATATAACAACAGTATAAACATACTCCTTATGGACCAATAAATACCTTAACTGACTTTGATTATGATTATTCAAATAATTAGCTATATAATTAGAATATTTTCAACAATTTGTTGATGTAGTATCTGCCATTTCAGCTGCCTTGGTTTCAATGGTGACTGTAAAATAAGGGGTGTAGAGATAAAGGTTTTAGTAAATCGAGGTGTTATATATAATTAACTAGTAGTACTTCTTTTGAAGTTTTCAATTCATCATATCTGTATAAATTATAAACAGAGGTTAAAAACCAGTGGGAAATGGTAAAGGTAAATATATGTAACTACTGCAGGTTCTTGGTAAATATGGTGTCGGGTAAAATCCAGACAAATATTGATCAACCGTGGTGATATTTAATTGTAGCTTACAAACATAGTGTGAGGATTATATGGAAAACTTGACAAATAGGGTTTTCAAAGACTAAAACTTAAAAGTCTTGATGTATCTGGTAAGGATAAGTCATGATACATGATACGATCAGGTTCAAGACAACTACGGCATCAATGGAGGTGCTATTTAATGATACAGTTGACAAACATTGTCAAGATTAAGTCCGGCATTGACAACAGGTACGGGTAAATGGGGTATACAGATCACACGGTAAGGTGACCGAGGAACAAATATTGACCAGGGATAAGTCACAGCACCATTAGTCGGGTTGTTCTGGGTAAATAATGCTGTACAGGTGGCAAGGGAACTCCCATTGTGTTAGTATTAAGGTGAGCTGGTGTAATGTCATCTTTGTATAGGACGAAAAGACTTAGTATCACGGTAATGTACACAGGTGTCTGATGGGAGAAAATAATTATTAACAAGTGTATATCTAAAAAAAAAAAATGTTAAGAATACATTTCTCAAGGTTTTCTTGAAATTTTTGAATAAAAATGAAAGATACTGATTCTCTATTTGATCAGTGTAAAGGCATATCCCATTTCATTAAATTTTTGAAGCTGTGTATTCTGGTATAGATAAAAAGGGGTATCTAGTGTGTATGTTGTTATAACAGCAGACATGTTTCAGGTATTGACAAATTAGTAAATCTTAAACAAAGAAATTCACCTATGATGCACTAAATTTGTACTTGATAACTTATTGTGAATTCCTGTAGTTAGCTAAGATGTGCTTGTGATTTTATTGAAAAGGATTTTGTTTGACTACCAGATTTTGAGCTTTATTTCCACATTTGCATCTGACATGTTCAGCCGGAGAGATTTTTCTCATTTTCGTATCTAAAATAAATCTTGAGTACACATGTGAAACAGATAAGCTGTTGTAATTTCCATATTAGAAAAGATGTTTGATATCTAGAGAACATTCAGACAGCCACTAACTTCAGGCTATAGACCAAATACATCCTGGGCCTTTCCTTTTTTACCTGTGTGATTTTATACAGGTATACAAAGGTAGATCAGCGATTTAGGGCATGTACCGATATGTAAATTTTTGTCAAGTTCTACGGTCTCCTATAAATGTCCTGTCAAAACCTTGTGATAAAGTATTGTGTGGTTTTATAAAGAAACCGTCCCATTTTCGTGGAGGACAAGAATGCACGGTTTATCACCACTGTTTGCCTAAGCGTTGGGACACATCTATAAACGTTTTTACTCCCTCTTGAGCATGTTAAAGTAGGTCACAATTTTTTTTAATAGGGCAGGATACAGAAAGAAACCTGTTAAATTTCACGCTATGTCACGTACATTAATCAAATGTGAAAGTCCTGAAATGAGTACTTAATTATAATTGATTTTTTTTTTTTTGGTGAGAAATTTTAATTGATGTAATGTAGCTAGGTGGTCTTTGCAATCTTTTTGGATTAAATAAGTGAGGGGTGTACCGACACGTCCATATACCTATTATATAACTTAATGAAAGCATGCAGGCTTGGTAGAGTTGTATGTAGAAAGAAATAATTACTGTCACTTTAGTAGGACTTGTACCAATGTTGAAATTTTAATGAGCGGAAATATACAAAAACTCATTTCCAGACACAACAAATTATGAGTTGTAATATAGAGATCAGTGCAGTTCATGGTTTGTCTGAAAAGTCCAATTTTTTTGTGTTCAGAGTTGCACATTTAAAAAGGTCTTTGGGGTTTATGTGTGGGTGGAGCCAACACACACACAAGCTAATTTTACCAGCATGTATCCGTTGAATAATATTCATATCCTGCTGTGAATTTAAAATTCAGAGGCATTGCTTCAACAAGTTACCAATTTGTCAAAGCTTATGCGTTTTAAATTAGATCCCCAGACAGATAATGTTAGAGCAAAGTCTGTTGGCAAAACAATATCTGACTCATAGAAAAAGAGAGAAGCAAATCTCACAGAGCACTTTCTAGAACTGTAGCAAAATATCGCATTACTATCACAATATTTATTGTGTTTACAAAACACCTATTTTGGTAATCATTTTAATAAAAAAAATAATCAAAATAGATATTCAGAAAATTAGAATACATATATTGAAAGCAAATCCACCCACAATATCAATTACGAAGCTCTGGTACATTTATAAACTAGGTCACGCTGATGACGATGTGTTTATGTCTTGTCCCTTGCGACTAGAGACCTGTGCTTCCTAGGGCAACAGTCCCTGTGGGAATGATGCAATAAAGACAGAATTAATCACCCATAGCTATAGATCACACATGTAGGCCAGCCAGTGTATCATGCAGGTTCCACACACTCTGTCAGGTATATAGTGGGGGGCATTGGGTGCAGTGTTTACCTGGTAAACACCTATAAAACTCTTTTATTCATTGATAGTGCATGCACAATGTAGCTACACGTTTATCTATAAAATAAATGTTTTCTGTACATTTCCCTGACACTTTGAATTAGCTGTCTAAATGTTAATATTGCATTTAAATTTTATGAATGACCAAGAAATTCATGCTTAGTGTAAATAGTTGTCACTACTTTCATGATAAGACCTCATTAGGAGTAACACGCTGTTTTATAATTAGTAGATGACCGCGAAGATTGAATAAGTAAGAGGACAAGTTTTGACTTATTTTAAAATTGGAAACTTAAAATTTCACTTTTAAGACAGATTTATTGACTACAGATATGATATATGTTTACCTATTCACCCCCAAAGTCACATTTGAACCTTACCATATCAAAGACTGGGCAAGTCCAGTTTAAAAATGTAGGGATGAATGAGTTAAGTAACTAATATATGATGTAAAGATTAAAATTGTCATATGCAACCTTAGTTGTTGAAAGGACAAACCATGATGGAGATTCACCACTTCTACTTAACCCTTTCACCACCATGTAACTTTAGTAGACTCTACCATGCATTGATCTGGATGAGTCCAATATGGTCTACAGTGGTGAAAGGGTTAAGGAAGCTGATGTATCTGTTAGAGCTGCAAACTTTGGGCCTATTTGTTGGCACTCAATCTTTACAAAAAGATCAAAATCTGTGATTGTTGTTGAGGTCATTTTGTCAATAGACGGAGCTAGTGGCTTTACTTACCATGACTAAATTTTTATTTTCCAAACGCACTACGTAATGTATTTTGCTGATATTGATTTGATTGTTGGTAACTTACCTTTTTTGCATGAGATTTAATATAAACCATTTTTGAATCTTTTCAGATGGTAGGAATGAAGTGAAAGCGACGTGTCAGCTGTATGTGAGATTGGTACGAGCGGAGATGTTGCAGAACAGTGTCACCATCAGACTAAATAACATGACACAGACGGCCTTCCTCTCCCCTCTATACAAGTTCTTTGTGGATGCCTTGGCCACCATTATGTTGACCGAGGAAAAGCATGTGTTTGTTCTCAACATCCAGAATGACACTGACGTTAACACTCAGATTCTTAACATAAGCGTGTCGGTCCGTAAGCCTGACGGGATGTTTCACCCAGCAGAGTATCTCAAGGAACAAATCTACCTACAACGAATCCTACTGGCCAATCTCTCCACCCTTCAGGTATGGTGATGTCCAGATTTTTTCCTAGTTTATCCAGCCTTAACTAAGTGTTCAACTTCACTTCGATTTAAGTTCGATAAATTATCAAATGCGTAACCAAACTTTTATACTGTATTTGAGCCTACTAAGAGCTCCAACCCCATATAAGCTTTGACTATACTTTTGAGGTCTGACCATCTCATTCATCACCATACATTTATGACCGAATGATGAAGGTTTTAGGATTTTTGAAGATTCGGCTGTCATTAAATTTTTGAAAAAAATCTATCTTACCGGGGGTGTTTATTAGGGAAATACAGTATTTAAGATTTATTTAAATGACCTTTGACCCCAAAATGTAATGTAGTATACAATAAAACACTAACATGATACAATCGTGGATATCTGACTGCTTTAGTATACAGTTTCATTCCTCTATAAGTTAATGGTTTTCAAATTTACATTATGAAATTTTCAAAATTTTACTTATTCAAGATAAGAAACTTGATATTTATTCCGGAAATTTAAATATCATTTTACAGGTGCATGTTTATGTAGAATCTTACTGTTTGATATCAGTGCCTGATCCATTTCAATGATTTCCCTGTGATTTGCTTGAAATTTTGTGTCGTGTTTGAATATTTGCATTACAATTTTATGGTCTTTTGATGGCTAGGATAAAGTTTTGCTGATACTGTAAGGATTGTATAGGATCTAAATTAACATACAGTTTTGCTGATACTGTAAGGATTGTACAGGATCTAAATTAACATAAAGTTTTTCGCACAGGGTGCTTAACGTCAACAGTTCCAATTAGACCTCTCGTCAAAACCGCTTGTTGAAAAAATCTACCATTCTGTACATTTATGTATGCCGTCGGATTGATGTAGATATGATTGCAGCTCTGTCGAAGAATGAATTGTTATCAGTCTACCCAACCAATTTTCTTCAGTTATTCACAATTTTCATTTGAATATCACTTGAATGTGTATGTTCCAAATTAGCATCTGAATTCATGGTTTATTACTGCATATTACAACACGCACGCAGATATAATCATGACAAGGTTATTAAGGTAGTTATGATCGGAGGAAATTGGTTGTGTACAGGTGATTTCAGGACAAAACCAGCAAATGGTTCACCTGACAAAGTTGACAGCTAGGCCTACAAATGATCGGTATTTCTTTAGAACGATATTTGACGTCTGTTTTTCAAACGAGTGTAACACGATACGCGGTTGGTATTGAGGCTGTATAGCACAGCCATCACTTTGTCGTTATTATCCACATTTCCCCCGGTACAAAACTATTTAATACCATTGACGGGTACACAATCAGACTGTTAGGTCACATGGGGCAAAGCTTTGTTTGAACAACCGGTGTACAATAAAAAATAATTGACGTTTTCATATGGGAGCTGTCCGATAGATCATAAATGATTTGGAGTGGAAACTACGTATTGAGCGACAGTGGATATAATTGTAACATACGGATCAGAAATAAGACCGATTTTTATATAGAGAACTTCGTTGTATACATTGAAGGTAAAACCTACAACCAATATCTCGAGCGTTTTTGTAAACATTACCTATAGAACATTATAAAGTACTGGCTTAAAGTTTAGACGGTCGATAAATGCTTTTAGGGCCAAAACTGTTAAATGTAAAAGATTTAAATTGCGTGTCACAATGACTTAACTGTTCCCTGATCCTAATGTTATTGCTGTTTTCTTGTCGGGAAATAATGATACCAACAATTACATACGTAGATTACTCCATTACTTTATTTCCTTTTAATGTATTTTCAAAACACGTTTTGATGTTCCCACAACTCAAAAAGTATTTATATATACCGGTAAGAAGAAAAACATTCGTGTTCTCAGAGAATGTGTAAGGAATGTTAAATCTGTTTTGTTTCGGAGGGTTTTAAAGAAATGAGTTAGATTGTTCATGTAATCGAAAAGCACTCTGTATCAATATAATATATCCTGGTCGGGTTTTTTGAGTGAATGTGTTCTAAATATAATGCCATGTATGGGGATCAATATAACATTCCCACCCCTTAGACAGGGCTAGTGTGTCTTTGTACGATTCTCCTGGCAACAAGCATAAGGTTGGACTACAAGGGCTGGTGATTGTAACAAATCAGTTATGTAACATACTCACTTGAGATAATGGAAATGTCAATATGTGTTATACAATGTACTCCAAGTGTTCTGCCTTCGTATGGTGAATTTCTACTCAAATAAATTAATCGAATCTCTCCGTTTTGTGTATTAATCCAGTATTCTCAACTTAATTAAAAAGTATGCCTTTTTGCATTGCATTTAAATTAAATGTACCTATATTTGTAAATATGAGGTCACTTAAATCTTAATCACGATTTTTGTGGTTATAATGGGATAAAATTGGGCAAGATACAGAAATTTGAAGACGTGGTATTTACAGCATTGTCAAAAAAGTTTTATGGGTCATCTTGACCTAATGATAACAATTAAAATTTCATTTACACACTTCAAATTTTACCCTTCTGAAAGAACTTCGATGCAATTCAAAGGAATATTTCAAAAAATCTCTTCAAATGTCGCCTATTCTTAAGGTTTCAGTCTTTTTTCAATTATTCATGAAAATTGGCTTCTAACTCATTAATGGATATGGATTTCCCGATAGATATATGTTTTGATGGTACACATGGTCCACTGGACAACAATACAAATGTTCCTGGTCATAATGATGTGTCAATCATACAGAATGGTTATTAATGATTCAGCTACTGAGTAATCCTAAACGTATGAATGCTGATCGTATTTTACGTCGTGTATATTTTATGTGGGTCAATAAGATAGAATCTACGTTATTAGGGAAGTAGCTCTGAAAATCTATTAAGTAGACAAATATTAATCCGACGAAATGTGTTTTCAACAACAAGCTATCATTTCACGAGACCAGATATATTTACATCCTCTCCGTGTTTAACCAGGTAGGCTTACTGTTACAGGACTTTAAATATATGGTGTGCTAAGTGGGTACATGTATCTATTGAAGACCCCACATGATAACATACACTGGTCCTACACGCATCAGATCCCTCGTAAAGGATACACGATATAGCTATGTGATACATACTTATTACCTGAGAAATCATAAATTAATCCCAGTGTGTTTACATAGAGTTTGAGTTATGACATGGTTTATTGGAATTCGGCATCAAGGAAGATAATTGGAATTTCACATTGATGAAGCCAATTTATTTTGGTATTGAAAGACGTGTCGTAGGTGTACAGTTTATTGTGAGAGAAGATTGTAGATATATTCTATAGAACTCTCGAGTCTGTACGACATTAGCACATATACTGAACAGTATACCCCATAGGTGAGATAAATGGCAAGAAAATTGAATATAAAATATTATCTGTAGTGAATACTGATATAAACAAGAATTCTGCAGAGTGATATGTCTCTCCAAGTCTTCTTTGTCAGTCGGTGTACAATTGGAAAGTGAAGGTTTGATAAGCATCACTTGAAAAAGGAACAGCTTATATAATTAGTCTTGCTTTCAATCCATTGTCGCAGCGAGACAATAAATTCATTTTCGAAGTCTCAAAAATTGTGAATATATGTAATAGCAATTATCTGTAATATGAAACAATCTATTCTATATTTTGCAAATCAGCTTTTGAACATTACACAGTGCACATTGAACCAACTTTTGCAAACATCACCTTTTATGCAGTATGATATACACTTAAAGATCTGTCATTTGATATGATGTGTTGTTTTTCATTCATGTTCTGTCAGTTGACAATCGTGTTGAGAACCTGTGGTTTATATGATGCCTTCATTTTGAGATCTGTTGTTTAATGATGTGTTGTTTTATTTCAGGTATTGCCATTTGATGACAACTTGTGTGTGATTGAACCATGCCCCAACTTTGAAATCTGTTTGTCACACGTATCCTTCGACGAAGCTGCACCTTTCATAACATCGGACATGATGCTGTTCCGGCCAATACGTCCGTACAACGGTAACACCTGTAAATGCCCAAAAGGTTTCACAGGTAATTACATCGCATTGTTTGTACCAATCTACAGGTACTAGCGCCATCATATTTTAGTGTAGTAATCAGATAGCTAAATTAGCGTAGTAATCAAATAGCTAAATATTGAAATTTAGCCTTATTCATAAACTTATGTACTCAGTCAGAGTGAAAATTGCTAATGTAGATAAGTATGTTTGCAGTGCTGCAAAATAATACCAGTCTTCAAGAAGGTTAATACTGATATTTTGTTGAATCATTCATTTTATTATACATCGCAAAGAGTAGAAGAAAGAGCAAGATACCACCATCATTATCTTTTTAGTAGATGTTTACTTTGTTTACATGTTTGGGCATCGTCAGAACAATGATAAAATTAGAACTTAATAACAGATACATTGCTAACAGATTGTTTTATCACATATCACTAAGTAACGGGTAACATTTATGATATAAATTCCAGGGATGAGGAATGACTTCCTGTGTGACACGGAGGTAAACCTGTGTTACAGTAACCCCTGCCTCAATGGAGGAACGTGTGTGCGTAGAGAGGGCGGATACTCTTGTCGGTGTGGAGACAGCTTTACAGGTAACTAAGATGTTCTATTAGGGAGGTTGGATACAGGTGTTGTCAACTTTACAGGTAACTGATATGTTCCATTAGGGAGGTTGGATACAGGTGTTGACAACTTTACAGGTAACTAAGATGTTCTATTAGGGAGGTTGGATACAGGTGTTGACAACTTTACAGGTAACTGAGATGTTCTATTAGGGAGACTGAATACAGGTGTTGTCAACTTTACAGGTAACTAAGATGTCCTATTAGGGAGGTTGGATACAGGTGTTGAAAACTTTATAGGTTACTAAGATGTTCTATTAGGGAGGCTGGATACAGGTGTTGTCAACTTTACAGGTAACTAAGATGTTCTATTAGGGAGGCTGGATACAGGTGATGTCAATTTAACATGTAACTGAGATGCGTCATACCTGTTGTCAGTATAATGTGACCAGATGGAAATCTGTTTAGGTGCCTTCGGCATGGTATTTCATTGAGGTTACACTCGAAAGTCGGCATCAGATTCATGTTATCGCAAGGAGGCAAACACCCCAACATACCCTGCCTCCAGCACACATACAGTATACCCATGAAGGCACATTCTTAATGAACTTAGCTGTTAATAGGATGTTAAACCTATTAACCAAACCATTAGGGAGGGTAGATACATATGTTTACAGGTAATTTAGGTTTTCTGATAGGGAGGATGGATACGTTTGTCAGAGTGGTGACAACTTTACCGCAATGAAAGTCATCTTATAACCCTATTAGTTTTGTTTTTGAGTCGATCAACATCAAAAAGTTTTCTTTGAGAGTATAATTTATTTTGAATGAAAAGTAGGTAATTTATCTGTCAGTTAGTGCCTAGATATTCTGGGCAAATACTTTGACTGGTGAAAAAGTATAATGTTATCTGAACACTAGATTTGCTTGACCGTGGTTATATGTGTTTAAAATGGGACTACATTATATAAAACAATTACCTGTGTATGATCAGTGTCATTTGAATTAGACCTTATCTTCATGAATGAAGAGTTTAGTCTAAGGTGAAATTTGCTGTACCGTACATGACCAAATAAATGCCCTGGGTGCTTAGTGCTTAGCGGTTTGAGAGAAAAAAAGAATGATTGCAGAGTCTTCTAAAATTCTCGAATATAGCCATAGTAGATACTTCTTCTGTACAAGTTGGTAAATTATAGTGAAAAGAAAAGGATATGTAAGCTTATAAAGCATGTGGTAGGTAATAGATCAGATATAGTATTGATCGCTTGAAGACCAAGGATGTTTGAAACATTGTAAAGCTTTAATTTTATTATATCATTTTCTTAAATAAATAAAAACATCATTGATTTGCTAGGATGTCCCAACAATTTTCTACATTATGTCTTTTAATAATAATTAGTTGATTTATAGCTTTTCTTTTCCTGTATATGATATTAAGGATACATTCCTTTGTAATTAGGGTAACACAGAATCGCTATTTTTCACTTTGTATTGAGGTGCTCCAATAAAACTGTAACACCTGAGCAGGTGAGGACATTGGAGCAGTCATGTGACGCCTGGTAGAACCAACAGATCAAGGCCACCGTTTCTGTGCATAACACATTAGCTTGAAATTATTCTTCAGAGAAATTGCAACATTGTGTGGACGAGGTCTGCAGGCCATGTGGAATGATGGCTGTCCTTTGTGAGTGCCCATGACAATCATTACAGACCGGGCGTATTGTGCTCGGGTGTAATCTCTTCGTTCTCAGCACACCGTGTTCACATCCAGTCAACATGCCGTTTGTTACAGTTCGTATTGGTGTTTAGTAGGTTTTTGTGTATGGGTATTTAGCTGACTGGATCACAGGGTCTTGTTACACCTTCGTCAATATGGCCTGATCGGATTGATTCCGAGCCACCGATAACGGATCATCTCCATTCAATGTGAGATTTTTAAATAAAATGAAATTTTGAGAAGCTATTGTCTTGCGGCGAGATTTTAAGTGTGTTTGTTCCGAATTTGGACTTTGATGTGAACGGTGATAGACAGACACTGCTGTGAATGCCGTTAGACAAGGAATCTTCCGACAGACGTTGACGCATTCGCGAAATTGAGTTATACCGGTGGTATTCATCTCGGCATTCACGACAATGGAACTGGTCAACATTTCTAATTATCAGATATGTTAATCGATGCACAACAAACCGAAACCTGCTGATATCGTCGGGTATCTGTGATCCTTTACCTTTATGGTCTTTAAACCTGAATTCATGACACAATTTCTATCATTACAATCTCTCATTGTATAGAAATGGGAGGAGTACGGTCTGCCGAAAATTTGTTCTCGTTGAATTATTTGTGTAAAATATCTTTAATCGGGCAACTGACAACACCTGTATTTTCAGATAGCTGGTCTTCAGTTGTTGCAGTACAGGTTTCGTCGAAAAAGTTTTAACTGTAGGGTACCCCAGTCCCTGGCATAAATGATTATATCTCATCACCTTGAGTGGATCAGAGATTCACTGGAATTTAGTTACAATCTTTTGTTAGCGGGCAGATTAATAATGTAAAACTATCTTTTAATGACGGCCAGAGATTATCCTGTACTAAACCGCCCGCTTTGATGGGCGAGTCTACCTGTGAATTAAACGGCACGACTAATCCTAGCTTACAGTGCATTCTAGTCAAGAGTTAGGAATCAAGTATTTGGATACGGTCATGTAATATGACATTTTTATTGTTGACAATCGGGAATTTTTATAGAATCAAATAAATAACCTGCTGCATCTAGGTTGGCATTTCCTTTTTCTATTTTCCTGGTAGAATAGTACACAGGTAAGAAAAATCTGATAGGCAGATAAACGGGCCCCTTTTGTATCCCCAGTTTTTGAAGGTCAAGCTTTGACTTTACGAGATAAGTCCTGTTATGATGTATTTATACGTATTACTCGGCTGGCCACGCAAGCTATACTTTTCGTTGACGGGGCAATTGTGGTGGACGTCTACCTTTGTTAGGTGTTTATTGCCGCGAACGAAGGGCGTAGAAATCCGAGACGGCTGAAAATCGGATAGTATTCAGGGAAACAATAGCCTTGAAATTAAGACTAATAACTATCTAGTCACGGCATCTTCACGAAGGCTGTGGTGGAGAACCTCGGGGTATTATTAAGTAATCAATAGGGGTTTTAAAACAACACTTGCGAGCCTGCATGTTGATTTGAACATCCTTTGTCGATTTCAACTTTTAAAATACTCTAGGTTGAAGCTTCACACAAAAAGTACCGTTATTTTCCTGGTGAAAATTAATAGTGGTGACATGTATTGTTATCAAATACCAGTATGACCATGGGAAAGCACTTTGTTACCACTCTGAGCTCATGTTTGATGACAAATATACGTACAACACATTACACTGTATTACACTGTACTATGATAGACATTAATATATTAACTGCCTTTTATTTCCACACTTGAATAAGGAGGTGAATTTATCATGGGGTGGAGGGGGGGTCAAAATAGTTCACATGGTAATTCAACACTATGTGAATTTGTTTTAAAGGACAAGAAGATGAACATTTTTTAGGGTGAACATTTTAAGGTCGAAAGTATACTTGAATAACATGTCTGGATATTTTTGTGCAATACAGTAAAGGGAAACAATTTTTTTTTTTCGCTACTGCAGCCAGTGCACATGTCTGGATATTTTTGTGCAATACAGTAAAGGAAAACGATTTTTTTTCGCTACTGCAGCCAGTGTTCATGTCGATATGGTCCCCATCCAAAAAAGCAACATAATTGCACAGGATCCTAAAAAATACATGTTATAGATGATATATATAGAACTGCATGCTTGGAACCAAACTGTAAAAACTACTGGTATTGACGCAGACATCTATAGCTATTTATACTGAACTCATCCTTTCCCTGTGCCCATTTTAGGTCTAAGGACACATTTTCTACCTATCCTTTCAAATCTTCTCAGATGTACATTACCCATGCAAAGGCCAGGACCCTTTAATCTATTGCAAGCAACAAGCATGGTTGCCTTTGATTTAACAAACTTTACAGTCGTTGACAAAAGGGGGTGCATGGCTATTAATAAAACAAATGCTTACATTTCAAGTTCAATCCTGGGAACATTCTACCTGTGTCAATTGATTTAAGATATAAATATTTAGTACGTTTAACTTCACCGACTTTTAACTGCTTTAGCTAGTACAAATGAATCCACTTCTTTTTATCTTTATCAACTTTACTAGACATCGAACAATGATCCAAAGATGAAAATTCAAGATAGGCTTTTTACATACCTGACATCAAAGTCTCATTTTATGGATAGATGAGTCAAACACATTTATCCGATTTACCTGTGGTAGTAATTGAAAGGTATAGGTGTATGCAGGTATATCACAAGTCAACAGTGAACATAAATCTTGTAAAAGCTGGATTTCTTATCTGGTTATAATCATTTTGTATCTGTTTGTGAAGCACATCAATTGTTTGATATTTGTTTTATCATGTGTTCCTGACAGTTTTAATGGTATTATTTTATGCTGTTGAAATTACAGAATTCTTCTGAGTTTCATTTCAAATTTATCTATACAGATTCTTTTATTGTATTGTTACCATTGTGAAAAGGAAATTATTTTTATATCTCCTCTCTTCATCTGATAAACTCAGTTTATGTATAATATTACCCATTAAAATTTATTTTATGTCATTCTGTATTTTTATCAACATCCACAATGTGTGCAGTTTTCTTGTCTCAATGTCTTCCTTAGAATATCAAAAGATGAATTGTATGATCAAATGTTGTGAAGAAGTATTGAATCATGTTAGGTTGAAATAAAATATTGAAGGACAAAGTTATCAGCTGCATGATTGTAAAATAAAAGATTTTATTCAAAGATATGATCAGAGTGTTATAAATGAAATTACCTGCATTTGACTACCAAGCTGGTAGTATAACAACTGATTTTACCTGTATTTGATTGTATATACCTGATAATTTTATGATTGATTTTACCTGTAATTGACCGTTTACCTGATATGTTGTATGTTTAATTTTACCTGTATTTGACTGTATATACCTGTAATTGACCGTTTACCTGATATGTTTTATGATTCATTTTACCTGTATTTGACTGTGTACCTGGTTTGTTGTTTATCTAGGCACTAACTGTAACATCAACATGACGAAGAAGTATGATGCTGCGACCTGTCCCCAGGACCTCTGTCAGCCTCCGTCCACCTGTGTGCCCCTCATCAAGGGAGGTTTCCGCTGTGAGGGCTGCCCCTCTGAGCCACACTTCAACAGCTTCTGTCAGCTGACCACGCGGCGGTTCCCAAAGGGCTCTTTCCTGACCTTCCCCTCCCTCAAACAACGAAACCGGTTCACCATCCAACTGAAGTAAGTACTTGTTACTTTGTCAAATGTGGTAACACTGATTTACATATTTTAATATTTTATTGGAATTATTATTTTGTTGCTAGATATGAACTATAATCACAAGTGTTTTGAAAATATTTTACCTTGGTCATGTTGTCTTCTCATACCGCTGTGTTGCAGTTTTTGTCCTTTTTCGGAAATCAGGGCCATTTGTAGGAGTTTACTGTTCAGTTTGCCATACACTTCAACTTTCATGATTGTACTTACTTTAATATATATGTAAAAATGACACCATCCTTCTACTGTGCTATTCTTTATAGTTTGGTGAAAAATATTTCTTCATAAGCCTTAATATAAGGTGAATGAAATTGAATAACAGGAAGTTCTTCGGTACAAGTAAAACAAAGAGATGTATTGAAGTTTAGAACTGTTCTTTCATCAAGAGAATCTCTCCCTACTGTCTGTTTGTGATTTCTTTTGTCTGCAGTTGAGAAAGTTTTGCAATTAAAGGTAACCTGATCTATTGTTATTCATACCACAGACAAAACAAGACTGTAATGACCAGGTGTGGTTTGCACATCTTGCCATATACAACAGGATGTTTTCATTTAAAATTAAACTTTAAATAATTTAATTGCTGTCATTTCTCTATAACTCATTTTTGAATGACTTTGGATTTTTGGCATTTTTCTTATGATTTGACAAACATAGATAGTTTCAGTAAATCTCATTAAATTTTGATGAATTACAAGTAAATGTAAATTGTCATTTTTACTTAAATTAATTGTTCTGAACATTGTTTTTAAATTCTTTTAAATTCATAGTTACTTTGTTCGCTGAAATTTCTTTATCGACATAAAAAACATGTCATCTTTAGTAATAGGGTATATGGTTGCTGAAGATTTATTGGCATCAAAACATTGGAACATTTACGGTAGAGCTAAGTATATATATACGCCACTGTGTTTGTTGTACTTATCCCTTGATAAATATTTAACGAAATGCTGTCAAGTTCCACACCAGTTGGTATTGGATGGTCAGCATAATTGACCAGTGACAGACAGAATGGACAGGCTTTCTAAGTTATGTAAACACACAATGGGTCAGTTTACAAAGAATTTAAGTAGGCTAGTAGCCTGCTGTGTCCTTTGTCAGGTAAATTGTCTCCCATGCCTTTGGGTACTTATGTCAGTATACCGTAAATATCCTTTTGTCAGGAAATACTATAAAATGTATGTTACACAATTTACGAGTTTGACTTTAAAGAATATATTTGTTGCACTAGATACTTAAAAATAAATAAAAAAAATACAGCAATCATTTGAACCATTCTTGAAAGTAATCGCCTGAGGTTTGATTTAATAGCAAATCAAATCAAATATCGCAGACATATACCGTAGGCCCGATCTCTTTACAAGGTAGCTGCTTAACCTGTACCAAGGTTTGTTTTGTTGACCTCAGACCTTTCCAGCCACTTACCTTTGTATAAATTGTTTACAGTAAACAAAGCTTTTGATCTGTGAGTCATACTGTTTTCTTGTATAAACGGGCTATGCTAAGCTTAAAATTGAAGTCTTTACCAAGGGGGAAAATGTACTGTTCTCTTCTGATGTGAAGGATATTTACTTAATTTTACATTGAAATAGAATGACAGTGTTGCAAATGTACAGACTTTGTCAGCTATTGGTGAACTAAATAGGGTATGTAGATAAGAGAAAGTTGTGGTAAAGTATGTGTGTTTGAGTTGGCAAGGTCAGGGTCGTGAGTTGGGGGGGAAAGGGGGGTGGATACATTTATTGAGGTGAACAAAATCAAAACATTATTTTACTGTTACTCACTGCTGTTTTGAAAAATAAATGACATAGTCACAATCAGAATGAAATACATACTTTGACTGTGATTTTTGTAGAACTTTTTCAGGCAAGTTCTGATCATCTTTTTTCTAAATTTTTATGAATCCCATTACTAAAAGATTTAATAGTTTCTCAAAAAATGTGTTAGTCTCACAGGAAAACCAATAGTCCACGACTCAAATATCTGAGTCCCCAAAAATAACAAATAAACATATATAACAATGCAATAGTTATAATACTGGAGTGTAAAAAAATACTCGAGGCATTTCCTGGGGGAAGTACCCATCAGATACCACCTAGTATGCACAGGTCGGAACAGAATGTCTACTTTCCCTGTTTGTATTTATTGAAACAGACATCACTAACACATAATTTAGGCAAAAAATTTGCATGTTCATGGCGTAGGCAGGTGTTATATATTTGTGTTGTTCCCCGAGCCTGTCACCCAGCTGTATAAGCTGTGAATTCACCAGCATAAAAAGTGGTGAAATCTCTTGAAAAGTCTGTTGTTTTATGTCTCATTCATCAAATCTCTGATTAGTGATATAGAATGTGAAAGGCGTTCCCATAGAAACAACGCGGCACAACTCATATGCTGCAGTATAATAAATGGCTCTCAACAGCAATAATACAATATATTTGCAAGAAATTTTTGGGGGTTAGCGGTGTTTGGGGGGGGGGGGGGGGGGCGACTACAAACAAGTATTAACAAGTGACTTATTGACACTAGTATGCTCACATTTCTGAAATATTACTGGTGTGTTTAAATGTGATAGATAGTTTGCATTCTTGTGTCCCGTAGTTGATATGTCTGTATTGTACACACATATTTTTCAATGATTCTGAACCATTTCCTGAATAAAAACACATTAATATCCGATACTGTAAACTGAATATTTCACTTTCATGAAAATGATACTCCTAAATATAAATAATAAACAATACAAATAAATTCTTTTCTTTTTAATGGAAGTGATATTTAGATGCATAAGAAAAGGAATTGAAATTTTAGCTGATTTTGGTGTGATAAGGTTATCCATACCTGTAACTGATACCAGGTATGGGTGTAGTCTTGTCCTGTAGGTCAAAAGTAAAAAATTTCACCTGACAGGTAACTGGTGTTGGAATTCATAATTGGAGGTCAAAGGCTCTAATAAGGCATGAAATTAAAGGTACCTTTTCCTGTTGTTAATCAGTTTTTAACAGGTGAGCAGACAAAAAATAATTAACTCAATCACGAAATAGAAAGAAAGAATACAAAAATAACTGGTAAAGCATTATCAAGGTATAAACCCGAACTGATGTGTGCTGACAAGCACAGCATTATACATTTAATTATCAATTAGAGGTGTGTGTGAAATAAAGGGACAAAGGTGTACAGCCCTTTATTATACCCTTATCTGGTGTTTCTTGTGTCTGTGAGTGGTGCTGTGGACACAAAGACACGTCTGACCAGGTAAACGCTATCCCCACTTCGGGTTGATTGGAGCGTCGTGCCTCCCATACAGGTGTGACAAAGGAATGACCCTGGTCTTTGATCTCAATTCTCTCACTGGTTCTAGAATTAGAGGTAATGCCCAAATAATCTGTCGTATTGAATTAATTAGTAACTTCTAAATCATTACATTCAATTTAGGCTAATTTGATACTGACTTCATGAAAAGAGCAAGTCTATTTGAATCTTTTTGTGATAAGATTTGAGATTTCAAGATCAACAAAGGTATTTGTTTACATGCCTAAAGGCAAAAGTGAGCTATCTTTTAATTTTTTTTTATGATCCTTTTTGGGTTTTGTTTGATAAGTACATTTAAGTGTTAAATCTCTTGAAATAGATCTTGACAGTAATATGATGACTAAAAGGATGGTATCAATCAGTAGGAATAACCCAAACTGTTAAAGGGAATCTATTTCAACTTTTCTTTATCGAAAAAGAAGAATATACAATCAAGTATCCTCATGAAAGGAAACAATATCAAAACATTTTGTTAGTTGTAAAACTTTAGCAAATAAAGAACTTGAACTTGAACATTTCCAAAGCAAGGAAGTACTAAATGAGACATCCGATGGAATTGCTGGAATGTCTGGAAGACCCAGTATGCTTGAAATTTATTAAATCAATATTTCTTGCAAGCAAAAGTTACATCACATAAGAAATTGAAAACAAATAGTTTCAGTGTTTATCAAAAATGTTTTTAAAAGTGTAAGAACCCTGTTGTACTGGTATGTATGGGTGCAACTCCAGGCATCAGGGACACATCATTAATTGATATTGTTTATCTAGGATGGCATTTGATGAAATTGTCTTTTTAGAACATTTCTCAAAGTATTCTAATATGAAAAGTGTTGTGTTTGGACAGATAAAACAGTTAATAATAATTGTCATGGTTTAAATTTTGTTTTCAGATTTGCAACCCAGCAGCAAAATGGACTGTTGTTTTACAATGGCCGGTTTAATGAGAACCATGACTTCATTGCTCTTGAGTTGATCGATGGTCAAGTACAGTTCTCCTTTTCACTGGGGTCGAACATCACCACCATCTCCTCAAACGTACTCGGAGGTCTCGGCAACGGAGAGTGGCAACAGGTTGAGATTCGTTACGTCAACAAGGTATGTGTACAATGGCTTACTGCCAGCAACTGTTGACAATACTGTATTGAATTTCAGAAGAGATTCAAGGGCAGATAACTTATCAAAAAATGTTGTCAAGGTCAAGGCTGTGCAAGGGGTGATAATCTTATTACAGTATACAGTCAATTTCAAGTGATAGGGAAGCTATAGAAAAAAGAGGGCTGTCAGGAAAGGCTGTTCACCAAGGGGAGATAACTGTCCATTACAGTATTTGGTGAAGGTCAAGTGAAAGGAGCTATATAGAAAAGAGGGATGTCAGGAGAGGCTGTCCAGGGGGAGATAAATGTCCATTTAAGTATTTGGGTATTGTCAAGTGGACGAGAAGCTATATAGTAGAGAGGGATGTCAGGAGAGGCTGTTAGGGGAGATAACTGTCAATTACATGATACAGTCAAGCTCAGGTCACAGAAAAAATATAAAGGATAGAAAACTGTCCTGTGTAATAGAGCAATGCACTAACGTTAAAGAAGTTCATGTTATAAATAAATACTTTTACATGTTGGGTCAGTTTATTCAATCAAAGCCATTTCGTAGAGAAAAAAAGAGCACATGTGCCTTTGCAACTATAAAATGATCAAGCTCTGCTGGGAGTGAATATACGTCGTACATTTATGATTCTGTTCCATAAGATTGTCTATAGAAAACAAACATTGAAGTGGATAAGATTTACTCCTAGTAGAAATCAGATAAGTGATATCTTTCTTCAAAACTCCAATGTTTCTAACTGATATGTCTGCATATTCAGACATATCTAAATCAAGATTAGGTTTGTAAATACATAACACGTCTGATAGGGATCAAAACCTATCGTTATTTTTGACTTAGTAAAGCAACTTGTCTTTATAACTTGGCAGAAGTTCCAAACTGCTTCAAAACATTCTTTAAAATACAAACGATGTGAAACAAATTTTAAAAACATTTTTGAGAGGCTAGCAGCAGGGTTTAGGTTCCAGATGATAATGAGATGTATGCATCGCTATGGCAAACAGATTAAGTTGAAGTGTTGAGTAAGTCCGATGGATTACCGGAATGTATAGAGTACGTAAATATTTGATACATGTTGTGGCATTCAAGGTCAAGGGTCTCTGTTTATGGACTCCCAATAGGGACGTGAAATGTTTGTAACATCAGTAGTAAGTTGGAGGTCATCCTTTCTATCTGCCCAATAGCAACAGGTACTAGACATTGTTGAGCCATTGTGGAATAAAAACACGACATCTCTATCAAATATTGATGGTTTGGTTGGTTGTTTTATACACCGCAAGGTTTCATCCATAATTCTACTCCCCGTGTAACCTCGGATATTCGACACCATCCCAGGACTGCAGCTTACCAGCGACTTTGCTGGCAGATAAACGCTGTGGTGCAGCATGGTGTGAGACAGATGGCCATTAAACTCGAGAATGCAGAGAAACTTTATATCCCAATGATTGCACAATCGTTGCAACCAGCCAGAAATACAAACATTGCAGGGAGTCTGATCTCTTCCAACATCTGTCACAGTCATTAGGAGTACACTGAGCTGTATGTTACAGTTCTACAGCTGTTTTTCCTGTACATTACACCACAATTAAACCTGACATTTATTGTTATTCAATTACAACATTTCTGTTAATTACTGCGATGGATGCTAATTGGTGTACCCCACACATATATCTTCAGTTAAATAATACATCATTTTTATTACCAGGTAATAAACAAATAATACATAATTTTTATTACCTGGTAATAATCAATGATTACAAGGCTAGTTGGTAACAAGTCTTTGCCTTGTAGTTGTATTTTGATAATTGAAAACAATTCGTAGCAGCACACCAGTCTCTCCTAGATTTACCTTCCACTTTGTGCAGGTGTGATACTCTAGATCTACAGCCTGGTAGACTAGAGGACTTCTATCATCATCTGTCTATCAATCTATCTTTATATACATCTATATATAAATATTCCCTAATGTATAAACAAATTTCTCTTTTGAAATATTTTGTCATTTGAATTTAATGAATAGCAAATTAATTTGATAGCAATATCGTTTAGTAGATTAAAAACAAAGCAATCTGCTGTTCGATATTGTTTTGTCCTGGATCTGTCACTGTGCTGGGAACAGTGACACATCCTGATGGATGCCGTCTGTTGGTGTTTACATAACATTGGTATTGCGTGGAGTTATATAATTGTATGTTTCACATATACACTGTATATTTAATGTCTATTGCCAAACCTACAGATTGTATGCCCCTTTTTTAGACAGGCACCGGTTAAGTCTGGATTTGTACTCAAATCACATGGTGGAAAAAAAACATCATCTAAAATGAAAATAAATACCTTCCGCCTACTGCCTTTTTTCTGGATGTAACCCTAAACAGAGATATTATATTGTTTGGCCTAATACAAATGATTAGTTTGTGTGACACAGGTTATGTTTCTGTCTTTGGATCTGGGAAAATATGGGGGAAATACAAACATTAATTTTATTGTCACCAAATAGAGCCGTCATGATTATATTTTTTTTTCATATGGTTCTTTATCAGTTTTTCAAAAAATAAAACCCAAAAATAATTAATTTACAAGTCATGGTTTTCAGCATAAACCACAATGAGTTAACTTATTTGGATAGAACCCAGATATGCTTAATGAACAAATCATGAAGACCTGTGTGTTGATGATACCCTGGTGATCTTAAACCAATATCAGTGTATCTGTGTAAGGGATTCCTTACAAATACCTAGAGGTCATGTAAAGGTTAAACCAAATGAAATATTGTCTGCAATAATGGATTGGTAATGAAAAAAAATCCTGATTTCTTTAGGAAGTGAAATTAATGAAGATCTGTGTGTTATCATTGGATTTGTGACCCCGTCCCTTCCCCTATAAATAGTTGATTCTCTACACCATGTGCAGTGTTTATTGGTCACAAATTAATTGATGGCTGCATCCCCTGACATGTCCTCTTTAATTCCGTGTTTTATATCCAGCAGACACTGCGAAACTTTGCCTCTAATCATTTTCCCTGATTGTCCTTTGTTGAGGTATGGAACCAATATGCTTGTTTGTAGTACAAAGCTTTGTAGACAATACAATGCAGAACTCGCCTTTCTTAATTATAGTGTGTTGGCCAAACATTCTCTGTATTTTTTCCAGCTTCTGTTCTGATTGTTAAGAAGAATACTGGTGTACTTTAGCGTTATTCAGACGCTGGATATATTTTCTTCTTCAAGTTAGAAAAGATGTGAATCTCCATTATTACGTATATAGGATATAAAGCATTAAACTATCTCTGCAGCGGAACAAGAGGAAACCGTTCTTGTAAGTTATGTGCAATCTTCAGCTGCATCCTACTTCCGACATGCATGCTTTAGGTCGTTAAATGTTTCCAAATCCAGCATTGCCTTGCAATTTTCATTTCACTTGAATTGAAATGTATGTGAATTTCATGCAAACGTGGTTCAGAGCCGGATAAGTACAGTAAACTATCCAGTTTGGTACAAAGGCTTTTTAGCAGTACATCAGTGAGGGAATTGACTTGAGTGCGAATGGTGACACGCACACTTTTACGCTACGAGACATGCAGCATGAAACCTATCTATTAGTCCCAAGATTCATGTGTTCTTGTCCTTCCACACTACAATACAGAGCTAAAGGGTGCCAATCTGACCTAGCCTGTCTACAGAGAGGGTCTGGCGGGCGTTAATGCCATTTGTCTGCAAATTCTGTTCTAATTACAACCCCCAAATCTCCGAGATGCTGATGGCCAATCTCACAGGAGTTGTGTCACCAGTTTAGAGATAAAGGAACGAGACTGGGAGTCGCCAGTTCGCTCCTCCACATCATGTTAGGGACCCAGTGTCTCCAGATAACAGGAAGGAGTACCCTATGTAGTTGAGGGTGAAATGTCTACAAACCCAGGAAGAAACATCTTCTCCTGATTCGTGTAATCCTGGCACCTTCACCTAAAAACGGTTCTGACTTGAAATGTATCTTGCAATGATTCCTGGTTCCTTATAAAATCAATTGCTGCATAGCGAATAACCAGCGATGAACGTGTTTACCATCCTGCTTCAATCCTACAGTTTGATGAGATAAATCTTAAATTACCCAAGGCTTTACAGTGTTTACCCTTACTCATGGTTTTAACCAGCTGTAGAGATATATATATGAATTGTGTAAGTTATAGCAGACTTACTGCTATTTGCTTCAGAACTGATGTTTTTGAAGCCTTTTTGATAGAAAGACTTCTTATCCTTTTTGTTGAAATACTGAGCTTCTGTCTTTAAACTTCAAAGATCAATGTACAACCAAGAGACAATATTCATAAATTTTCTATATTTTTACCGGTATATGGTACATGACACGATATGGACCTAAGACCTAGGTCCTGTGAAGACGTTACTGGTCTACCAAGTCCCAGTTTTCCTGTGAAGACGTTACTGGTCTACCAGGTCCCAGTTTTCCTGTGAAGACGTTACTGGTCTACCAGGTCCCAGTTTTCCTGTGAAGACGTTACTGGTCTACCAAGTCCCAGTTTTCCTGTGAAGACGTTACTGGTCTACCAGGTCCCAGTTTTCCTGTGAAGACGTTACTGGTCTACCAGGTCCCAGTTTTCCTGTGAAGACGTTACTGGTCTACCAAGTCCCAGTTTTCCTGTGAAGATGTATACTGGTCTACCAAGTCCCTGTGTCCCTAGAGGACATGTATACTGGTCTACCAAGTCCCCGTGTCCCTAGAGGAGATGTATACTGGTCTACCAAGTCCCTGTGTCCCCAGATGAGATGTATACTGGTCTACCAAGTCCCTGTGTCCCTAGAGGTCATGTATACTGGTCTACCAAGTCCCCGTGTCCCTAGAGGAGATGTATACTGGTCTACCAAGTCCCCGTGTCCCTAGAGGAGATGTGCTTGGTCTTATATTACCACACACTTCCTGATAACAATTTCTGTCTAGTTACATTTATCGATTTAAATTTGTTTCCCAGTATGGTTTTTCCCATTGTATCTCTTTCTAGAACAATACAATGAATATGATTATATCTGTTAATATTTTCTCTGTGGAAATTGAAAATTCATGTTTCTGACAAATTTGATTGCAAATATCAGAAAGATTTTCAGTAACAGTGACACATAATTTTCTGACAGTCTATTAGTAATTAAAATGACTGTTGTTGCATTACACTAAGAAATGAAAGAAATGAAGTTCATGGTCTGATGAACAAAAAGGCTTCAGTCATGTGTGTCTATCAACAGTGAAAGTTGAAATAGAAAAAGAACAGTTGCATCTAAAACTTGTGTTTAATAATTCACACACAAAAAATCTATTACCAGGCAGGGAAAAAAATCAACATCTGCCACTTGTCGGTTTGATTTTTGAGAGAACAATTGCTGAAAGGATGAAGTGTTGATAATTGTGAAAACACCTATAAACTGAACTGTTCATTTGATGTGAACAATGTAATTAAGTATATCAACATACATGTTTAATGATAAAAGCCTAGCTACCCAGGATTGTGTCGAAACCATAAAACACACACAATGTATGCATGCATAACCTTCGGGGAGAGATATTGATTTTAAACATTAAATTATGCAATAAATTGCTCAGGAATAAATAAATTGATAATTAAAAAGTATTACTATCAGATCCTATCATCTTCAAAATTATTTTTATTGTGTTTGAAAAAATATTGTAATTGAATTGGAGCCTTTGATGTTGGCTGTTTTACGTAGATGATCTGGAGGCTGCTACCTGGGGGCTATGTGTCGGGTACGTGTGATGGCTGGGACAATGTCTACTACGCTTCCAGCAGTATTACTGATTTCTCAGTGTTAATTATAAGACACGTTTCGTATTATCCACCGATACCTCACTATTACAGTTACTGTAATTCACATGCTAATGATCTCGTTGATGTCTGCCTGTCCCCGAGTCACGCTAGTTATCCTGATGACACTGATGATGATGGAGGCTATCTCCCGACGAGGCATCTGTTTCCTGGAGCCAGGAACGATTTGACCCCTAAAGACAATTATGGTCGGTCTCAGATCAAATCAATGAAGAGAACACATCGGCACTAGAGAACTGCAGTGACAGCTTAGGTTTAAGACACCGGATAAATTTCTTGTCAACATGGATGAGATTTTGTTATTGCTTTCAAATGAGTTCATTTAACAAAGTTCTAAATGAAATTAAGTATAAAGTATCTGGCTGTATTTCTGTGGAGTCATTAGGAAGTTGCCACTGTTGTGTTGTTTACAAGTGGCAGGGACGAAGTATCGCATCTAATACCGCTACCAGTGAAAGCCCATCTCCATGGTATCTGCATGTGCATGCATGTCCGTAGGGAGAAGACTCTGTAGGGAGAAAACAATTGCTACAGGTGCAGGCAAGCTTGAAATCTTTATGATCAAGCATGCACCGTCTAATCTATTTTTGATGATCTGATGAGTAGCAGATTGTTTTGTCAAAAATAACTGATGGTAAAAATAAAAATAATTTCATGTATTATTGTAACCCGTGAAAAATGATCTATGCCTGTGCACCTATGTGTTCATGTCATATAAGTTGAAGATACAGAACTTGTATAATACATCATATAGAAAATGCAATAATGTTTAAAATAATTGGTTAGCCTATTTACTTGGTAAATTACGGTAAGGCTTTGGTTTGTGTAAACCGTAGATGTTACGGTCACAGTCATAGGTTGGAATTATACGGGCTTAGAGGTTGTTGTGTAATCTACAGATTTTACATCAGAGATGCAGGTTCTCTAATGATAAATTAGCTTCAGTCTCTTTGATGTGTGTTTGATTTCTGCTAATCAACCAGAGAATCATCGAAGAATCTTCCAGTTATCTTTGCAATTTGGTCCCAGTACATGTCCAGATGGTATGCAGGTAGTCATTATGACGGGCTATCCCGGTCAATAGATCTATAAATAAGGGTATAGGCCTCGTTTACCGGTTGTCTGAGTATCGTTTGTGAGATAATCACGTTCATCCCTGTCTTGGATAAAAATCAATGACCTCTAATGTTACACTTGGTGATTTATTGACATTTGAACTTCAGGCAGTGATAATCATGGTCACTTGAACGTTTGTTAGAACTGACTGTTATACAACATATATTGATATAGGAGCCCCTAATTAGGATGGACAATAGCGATTTCAATTTATGAATTTTATATCGTGATATTTGCTTTTTATCGGGATCAAAGTTTGGAGATTATATTTAAACTTCCTGTAAATTCTTAAATGTATGACTCATCGCAGATCATAAATCTCTTTCAAATCTTTTACCCGACTTGAATTGTAAGTTTTATGAACCAACCACCATAATCTCCCTCCATTAAAAGTAGTGGACTACTTGTACATTTCATTTTTTTTTCATTTAACAAATTTTTCTATCAGTCTTTTGTCATTCATCTATCATCCAGTAATTCATCTATGATTTAATTAATCAATGCCTGGTTGATTTTTGATAATTGGCCAATGTTATTGCTCAATTTTCCTACACACCCTTTAATTACCTGTTATCACTGCTTGGATTTGCAATTCCTTGAAAAAAAAAATTCTGTTGGTATTGTAATGAATGATGAGTGATTGAAACAACACACCTGGTAATTTGTGTGCAAGGCTTTCCTGGGACCATTTTGGGGCCAACAATTGGTCCCTTTGCTGTTGAAAAATGTTGCTATTGATTAAAACTTTTTAAAGTATACTTAGCTTCATCTGCAACATCTTATGTTTCATAAATAAGGATATGTTTTTAGACTTCAAGATGTGTTATGATAATTTGCCAAAAAAACACCCCAGCTCAATCAGTAGTTTTTATAATTCCGAAAAATTTCCAATTTGGTTTACCACGACACGTTTTTCTCAATTTTAAAGCCACTGGCCCCAATCCCAAAATAGTTAGAAAAAGTCCTGGAGTGTACTTACACAGTATCTACAGACTATCTAATGTGTTTGACCCCTGTTAAGGATTTTATGGTCATTAAACAGGCTACACCTTACTAGAGAAATGGCCATTGTGTTGGTGCACCCGGTGCTTGGGAGTTTCTACAAGTATTACTAACATCTCCACCTCAGACGGTCTATAATACAGAGGGATGGAAGGGTAGCATGTTTGATGGCCATCCATAACCAGCCTGATTTCCTGACCTGTTTGTCGTGGCTTTTAAGTCTCTCTCCTGCTCACCTGTCACATGCCGATTGCTATACGTGATACACAAAACTCTTTGTTAGGTAATAACAGTTAATGGAGGCATTGAAATATCCAGGATCAGACAAGGTTCATAGTTTCATTCAGTTTACACTGGGAACAGCATCGTTACTGATTCAATAGTTTCATGTACAGAAAAAATATAAAATCTATGGCACTCATTCATCAATGTCTATAGATGATGCCTTAATTACAGTATTCATTACAGCAAAGTCTGCTGTTGCTATGCATGTTATAGCCATTGATGGCTAATCCCTGGAAATTTACTAGCATCACAGAATTAGTCTTGGTCGTTCCTGCTCTTGCTTCCATAAATAACGGTCATGAATGATGGCATCCTCTCAAATGACGCTGATCAATATTGGAAATTTGAGTTAGTACCACTGCACGGCAGTAGAGATGGAGAAACCATGGGAATTACAGGTCACATGATCGCTGTAATAGCGCTGTAGAACAAAAAATACAGATATTTATTCCTGTGTTGCAATTCCATAGGTATCCCAGGTTTCCAGACATGATCTCCGCTGGGAATCAGACATGCTTTAAGTAGTAAAGAGGATAATGGCTTGATGGCATTGATTCTCTATAATCTTCTACACCTGGGAAATAAAACAAACAGGAAGCTGACTTCTCTAATTTCAAGTCTTGTTGATAACGAAATTCTTTGTAACGTTTGGGTGAAGGTTTTGTTTGTTTTCTGCCCCCGTTGCAATTGTACCGTTGAGAGCAAGATACCTTTTAACCCGGTTTAGAGATTGGAGAAGTTTGATCCTCATCAGTGAACCAATGAGCCTTTTGTAACAGTGACAACAGGGTTATGTATCTCTCCGCGTCTCACGGTGACCCGCCTAGTAAGTGCTGGGGCACAGTCATACTGTTTTGTGATAAAAGGGCAAAGTAAATCATGAGGTAGCATCTACAGGCCCCCATTACAACAGAGATAGCATTACAATGCGTAAATCATAGCCAGTCGACACAGTGAACGTAGTAAAAAGTACAAATAGTACGGGGATGTGGCGGGAGGTATGCATTGTTTCCCCCCTACAAACAGCACTGACCTCCGGGACACAACACTACAATAATGATGTCATTACAAGGCAAACTACTGATTGTAGCTCCGATAATTGTTCATTCATTCATGAGTACAGCGGAAATATTTTATCATTGCTAAAATCTGACATCATTTGAGATCAACCTCTGGTACCCTACAAACTGTAACATAATATTCTAGAATAGCACTGCTATTATTAAAGTGAGGTAAATGGGTGTATACAGACAAAGGCCGGTTTGTTTCGGTTATCCCACTTAAAACAATAATTCAGAAACATAATTTCATTTCAAAACTTTATTGTTTATTAGACATGTGTATTGTATCAATGTTTGATGAATGTGTTCCTTACAGACAGTATGTTTTATGTAAACTGATGATGACCTTGACCTTGTTTTATATTTACAGACTGTGACCTTGACCGTGGGAGAAGATTGTGACACACAGATCTTCGTGATGTATGGCGACCAGATTACAAACAACTCCTGTGCCTCGCGAACGACACATTTCCTCCCAGACATGTAGGTTTACTCTCTCTTGTCTTGTAAAGTATCTCACTCGTTTAATTACATGTAAAGAAGCTAGAAATATTATGTAGTATACTATATTACCATATCGGGGATACGTCACATTTATGAAAAACAAATTATTTGTGTTTACATGCACTTATCATCAGAATTATTCTGAATTTTTTTAATCTGGGTTTATATAACTTAAATAATCAAAGACTTGAACCACTAGAATGAACACTTTGAACTTTAACTATGGAAAATACAGAAAATTGATAAACTCTTCGATTAGACATCATATACTTAATATCTGGAAAAGGAAAATGTATCATGATACATAAAAAAATGTAAGAAAGGTATCTTGATGTGTGTATGGTATTGTAAGGTAAGTATTTTAATATGTAAATGATGCAGTTGTGTATCACAAGCTGTAATATAAAGATACCCGACTTTTACGACACAGCTTGGGTGCACCGGGCATTTTCTGCATTGTAGTTTGTTCAACCTGCAGGCTATAGTACATGTGCTGAATGTGTAATTCTCTTTCGCAAATGATTGCTTTACTCTGAAGCCAATTCATTTAGCTTTGATTAAAGTCAACTTCAGCCATGTTGATCGTTTTTTGTAGAATTTTTATTCTGTAATTACCGAATGCCTGTTGGCCTGGAACAGTAACGTTTTCATTTCCATTGTCAGGTGTGCCATCAACACAAACATCTGTTACCGTCTGTTGGACCTAACGGGACCGTTCCAGATCGGGGGACTGCCTCGACTGCCTTCCACGTTCCAGATCCAGAACAAGGACTTTGAAGGCTGTATGAAGGACATCTACATAGACAATGAGCTGCTAGACCTCAACAAATCTGTGTCTAACGTGGGCACACAGAAGGGCTGTCTGGAGAAGAAGAACTTCTGTGCCGAAGCTCCCTGTCGGATGGGAGGTCAGTTGAACTAGATCAAACGGCTAAAACTTTGTCTTATATTCTTGCAAATTAAAGTTGACCTTATACGGATGTTGACAAGGATTGATACCAAAAGGCTGTTGTCTTTTAACTTCATTGAAACTATTACCAAAAGCCTCAACATATATGATATTCTGTAACCCCCATCAGCTAGTGTTCTGTCAATGTCAATGAGATGTGTTATGAGGTCAAGGTCAACCAGACTCCGACATAACATGGTATTTGTTAATGGCCTTTCACCTTGTACCCTGATTGTTTCTATGTACCTGTGCTATTGAACTCTGACCTTATATCATGATCATTCCTCTCTTCCTGTGTGTCAATGACCTTTGACCTTATATCTTTCTTTAGATACTAGTGTTTTTGACCTCTGACCTAATATCCTGATTGTTCTCTAGGTACCTGTGTTAATGGCTGGGGTGTCTACAGGTGTGAATGCCCAAACAAAGCTGGAAACAAAGACTGTAGTCAAGGTAACTAAACAAACTGGAAAAATTATACAGAGATCATAATTATTTCTCCTTATCCATCCTGCTTAAAAATCAGCTGTCAAAACTAATTCTGTAATGACCTCTCAAAAAATATGTCGCTGTTAAATTTCTCATTTGGCTGCAGTAACTTAATAAGATCTCCTAATGTCTGTTATTTCTCATCATAGACTTTACTGAAATGTAAGTTACAGATGTGTTATGGTTGTTTTGCTGTTGCAGTGATTGATGGACCAAAGAGACTTGATGGAACAGGCTTCCTGCGGTACACTAATAACTCATTGAGCAGCGTGGAGATCTTCATGACATGGTACAACGGTCTGTCCTTCAGGACACGTGCCCAGTCGGGAGCTCTCATGTACATCAGGCTTGTCAACAGCCACTCCATCCTGATGCAGGTCAGTATATCAGATATCCTGGTTACCATTGGCAACAAGCACATTAGGGCATTGTTTAGGCGGTTGCAATAGTTTGTTCACTTGCTAATTTTTCGTTCTGTAAACTTGGTGCAGGCCTTGGCAAAAGCCTTGGTCAAAGCTCACCAAGAAATATTTGTAGACCATCAAGTCTGTTCCTGCTTCTCCGTAAAATGTTACACAGCTGTTCAGTTCAGGTGGGGAAAGGCCCCAGACTATATAGCTTCGTCATAAAGTTTATGTAACAAATAGTCAACTTTCATTATTATTTTTTAGCTAAGGCGTTAGCCGCCAGCTATTGGTATTACTTTAGTTAATGAGCTCAGATATTCATAAATGTCGATTTCACACAGACGGCCTCTAGCGGTAGTCACTGGTACTAAATTGAATCATATACCGGACCTACTGTCTTTATTATGCGTAACTTTGGACTCAAATGCACTTGAATGGCTTGTAAATATCATTACTTTTCTTTATAGAACATATGATCTTATCACAACGTCGTATTCTTATTGAAAATGCACCCTGTTTATCTCAATCGGGAACTGCTACTTGAATGTAGGTCATGCATGCTACACGCAACTTCCGGTAAAAATACTTCAGTTAATGAGCTCAGATATTCATAAACGAGACATAACGTCACCTTCTAGTAATACTAAACAAACTGCAAATAAAATCCATTACCACGGACTCAAGTTCACTCAAACGTCATTGGATATAATCTTATTCTTAGTTAGAACTAAGTATCCTTCTAAAACTTCGTATTTACTCTTGGAACTGTCGCTGGATTAACCCTTTACACGGAAATATTGTCCTGTGATTGGCTAAAATTGGTGACATTTACGTCCCTGTTTACAATTATATATTGCGTGGTCAGAGCTATGAAGCGGTCCTGTTCCAACTAACTGAGGATAATCAAAAGTGCTAATCAGTAATAATATATCTGATTCACGCTTCATATGATTATAATGTTATCAAAATATTGCATATTCGTTCATCGTTAAAATAACAAATCCTTACTAAAAACTCTAAAAAAAGAAACGACGGCCATGTTAGATCACGCGTGATGTTATCCGTTTCCTTATATGGCCTTCACGGCCAAATATAGTATTACTACTGATGCGGTCATGTTTACTACAATTTCCATATTTGGTCATGACACCCATATTTAGACGTCTGACCTATATCGGAAAGATTGAGGAAGTTTCCAACATGGCAGTCAATTAGGATTTCGCTTGCACTTGTTACGTAAACTTGATAATTTAACGAAATATAAGGCGGAGTATAACTTACAATTATGTAGGAGATCAACATAAAAAGTTCATATTACAAACCTATTAATGGATACGGATCCTGTCAATTAATTCTAAAATCGCCTCCGTGTGATTCACACCAGGCTTGCCTAACTAAAATGGGATCAACCGGCCGGGGCAGATGAGACCGGGAATCATGTTAGAACTAGCCACTGTCCTTCTCTAGTTCCATATTGGTATTCTAACCTGAAGGCTTTTTTTACCTTCGCAGTATTATCATTTTGTTCTATTTTCATCATAAGATATGCTATTGCATTTTTATATCGCCTTCTCGCTAATTACAGCTCAGCCAGAAACGAAAATATGCTCCGATAGGCCTACATTTTATATGTCTGTTGGTGTGATTTGTGTTTTTCGTTTATTGAAGTATTACCATATAACAGGACTCTTTTATTTCAATATACACAAAAACAACAACACCTTCGGAATGATTTCAGACATATACTGCGGGAAAACACGAGTGATCTCCCTTACATTTAGACATGCGCACATTTTACTTTCGTTTTGTGTAGGCCTAGACATCATTCGCAACGCGAAGCGGAAAAGACGAAAATGCAGGCGAGTGTTGACTTAATGTTAGGCATGTTGTTTAAGCAGCATTGACAATGAACAATATACATACACTTCTGCAACGTTTACCTACTACTGATTCATAAATAAGGCTATGTATCCCGATTTCGGTGACTTGTGGCCAAGCATGCGGCCGAAGCCGCAGAGAATGGCGCATGTTGTCAGCGGCGATGACAAAAAGGAAGGTGCTTCTACGGTATGTATAGCAGTTATTATGCAAAAACAAACATAATAAACGGACGTTTTACTCTAGTGAATTACAGCGTCACGAGGAACGTCTTTCTCCAGACGTGTTGCAAAATTTTCGAACTGCTTAGTTGCAAACTGATTTCACTTAAGCGTTGTTTGTGAGGATATTTGGCCTTACATTTCTTCTCATTCAGTTAAAAAAAA